CCCATTCAGTCTGATGTTGGTTATGGGTTTGTCATATATAGCTTTATCATTTTGAGATAAGTCCTTTCTATGCCTAGTTTGTTGAGGGTTTTTATCATAAAAGTATGCTGGATCTTATCAAATGCTTTTTTGCAACTATTGAGATGATCATATGGTTTTTGTTCTTAATTCTGTTTATGTGATATATCACATTTATTGACTTGTATGTGTTAGACCATCCCTGCGTCCCTGTTATGAAACTCACTTGATCATGGTGTACTCTCTTTTTGATGTGCTGTTGGATTTGTTTAGCTCGTATTTTGCTGAGGATTTTTGCATCTGTATTCATCAGGGACATTGGTCAGTTGTTTTCTTTTTATTATGTCCTTTCCTGATTTTGTTATGAGAGTGATACTGGCTTCATAGAATGATTTAGGAAGGATTTCCTCTTTCTTAATCTTTTGGAATAGTTTCAGTGGCTGGAGTGTAGTGGTGTGATCTTGGCTCACTGCAACCTCCGCCTACTGGGTTCAAGTGATTCTCCCGCCTCAGCCTCCTGAGTAGCTGGGACTACAGATGCATGCCGCCATGCCTGGCTAATTTTTGTGTTTATTGCAGAGACGGGGTTTCACCATGTTGGCCATGCTAGTCTTGAATGCCTGACCCCAAGTAACCTGCCCATCTTGGCCTCCCAAAGTATTGGAATTACAGGTGCGAGCCACTGTGCCCAGCCCCAATTCTTCTTTGAATGTCTGATAGAATTTAGCTGTGAATCCATCGCGTCCTGGCCTTTGTGTATGTGTGTGACAGTTTTAAATTTACTGATTGAATTGCTGCTTGTTATTGGTCTATTTAGGGTTTCTGTTTCTTCCTGATTTAATCTAGAAGGGTTGTATGTTTCCAGGAATTCAGCAGTTTCCTTAGATTTTTCTAGTTTATGTGCATAGGAATGTTCATAGTAGTCACAAATGATCTTTTGTATTTCTGTGGTGTTGGTTATAATGCCTCCAGTTTCATTTCTAATTAAACTCATTTGAATCTTCTTTTTTTCTTGGTTAATCTAGCTAATGGTCTATCAGTTTTGTTTATCTTTTCAAAGAACCAGCTTTTCATTTCATTGATCTTTTGTATTTATGTTTCAGTTTCATTTCCTTCTGCTCTGATCTTTGTTATTTCTTTTCCTCTGATAGCTTTGGGTTTGGTTTGTGATTGTTTCTGTAGTTCCTTGAGGTGTAACATTAGGTTGTAAATTTGTGATCCTTCAAACTTTTTGATGTAGACATTTTAGTGCTATAAACTTTCCTGTTAGCACAGTGTTCCTGAGTTTTGACAACTTGTTACTATTATCATTCATTTCAAAAAATGTTTGAATTTCTATCTTGATTTTATCGTTAACCCGAAATCACTCAGGAGCAGATTGTTTAATTTCCATGTATTTGTGTCATTTTGAGGATTCCTTTTGGAGTTGATTTCTAGCTTTATTCCACTTTGGGCTGAGAAGGTACTTAATACAATTTGGTTGGGTTTTTTTTGTTTTTTTTTTGAGACAGAGTCTTGCTGTCACCAGGCTGGAGTGCAGTGGCATGATCTTGGCTCACTGCAACCTCCACCTCTCGGGTTCAAGTGATTCTTCTGCCTCAGCCTCCTGAGTAGTTGGGACTACAGGCGTGTACCACCATACCCAGCTAATTTCTGTATTTTTAGTAGAGAGGGGGTTTCACTATGTTGGCCATAATGGTCTCAATCTCTTGGCATTGTGATCTGCCTACCTCAGTCTCCCAAAGTGCTGGGATTACAGGCATGAGCCATCGCGCCGGGCCACAATTTCGATTTTTAAAAAATTTGTTGAGACTTGTTTTGTGGCCTATCATGTGGTCTGTCTTGGAGAATGTTCCATGTGCTGTTGAGAAGAATGTGTATTCTGCAGTTCTTGAGTAGAATGTTCTGTAAATATCTGTTAGGTCCATTTTTTCTAGAGTGTAGTTGAAGTCCATTATTTGTTGACGTTCTGTCTGCATCTGTCTAGCGCTGTCAGTGGAGTATTAAAATCCCTCACTAATACTGTGTTGCTATCTCAATTCTTAGATCGAGTAGTAATTGTTTTGTGAATCTGGGAGCTATAGCGTTAGGTACATATAAGTTTAAGATTATAATATAACCTTGCTGGATTGATTCTTTTATCATTATGTAATGACCTTGTTTGTCTTGTTTTGTTTTAACTGCTGTTGCTGTAAAGTCTGTTTTATCAGATATAACAATAGCTGTGCTTGCTCGCTTTTGTTTCCATTTGTGTGGAATATCTTTTTCCACCCCTTTACTTTGAGTTTATATGAATCCTTACACGTTAGGTGGGTCTCTTAAAGACAGCAGATATTTGGTTCATGATTTTTTAAAATCTATTCTGCCAATCTGTATCTTTAAAGTGAAGCATTTCAAAATTAATACTGAGATGTGAGGTGCTGTTGCATTCATCATGTTAATTGTTACCTAGATACTTGGGTTTTTTTCCATTGTGTTATTGTTTTGTAGGCTCTGTTTCATGCTTTCAAGAGGTTCTATTTTGGTACATATCAAGCTTTGGTTTCAAGGTTTGGAAATCCTTTTAGCATTTCTTGTAGGCCTGGTCTGCTAGTGACAAATTGTTTTACCATGTAAATGATATTCTTTAAATATTTGTTTTCCAATTGTTTGTTGCCCTTATATAGAAATATAATATGGTTTTTCTGTATATTGACTTTGTATCATATAACCTTATTGAATCCATTTATTATGTATATATACATATTTTGGTAGATTTCTTAGGCTCTGTTAAGTATGCAATCATGTTGTCTATATGTTAAGACAGTCTTCTTCCTTTACCGTTTATATGCTTCTTATTTCTTTTTCTTGCTTCATTGCATTGACTGGGACTTCCAGTTCAATGTTAAAAAGAAGTAGTGAGAACTGACATCTTTGCCTTGTTTTTGATCTCAAGGGAAAAGCATCCAGTCTTTCATCATTAAGTATGATGTTAGATGTAGGTTTTTGGTAGTTGCCTTTTATCAAGTTGAAGAAGTTCCCTTCTATTCCTAGTTTGTGAGGGTTTTTTGTCAGTAATGGAATTGAATTTTATCACATGCTTTTTCTGCATCTATGGAGATTATATGGTTTTCCTCTTTAATTCAGTTAATATAGTGAATTACATTGATTTTAAAGGAATGCTAGGCTGGGAGCACAGTGGTTCATGCCTGTAATACTAGCACTTTGGGAGGCTAAGGTGGGCGGATTGCCTGAGCTCAGGAGTTCAAGACCAGCCTGAGCAACATAGTACAACACTCTCTGTACTAAAATACAAAAAATTAGCCGGGCTTGGTGGCACATGCCTGTGGCCCCAGCTATTCGGGAGGCTGGGGCACAAGAATTGCTTGAACTGGGGAGGTGGAGGTTGTAGTGAGTCAAGATCACGCCACTGCACTCCAGCCTGAGCAACAGAACAAGACTCTGTCTCCAAAAAAATAAAAATAAAAAATAAAAGAATGCTAAATCAAACTTGCATTTGATCTTCTAATATTTTAGAAGGATTTTTGTTTATTATTATCATTTTTGTTTAATATTATTTATTGTTAAGGATTTTTGCATCTACGTTTACGAGGGATATTGGTCCATAGTTTTTTTGTAAATCCTTTGTCTGGTTTTTTGAGGTCAGCCTTATGTTGACCTCATAAACTGTCTATAGACTTATATTCAATGTCCCTTTGTTTTCCTTCTTTTTTTTTTTTTTTAAGATACAGCGTAGGCTCACCTCAAACTCCTGGGCTCAAGTGATCCTCCTGTCTCAGCCTCCAGAGTAGCTGGGACTACAAATGTGTGCCACCATATACCATGCTTAGCTTTTCTATTTTCTGAAAGAGTTTGTGGAACACTAATGATTTCTCTTTCTTAAATGTTTCATAGACTTCATCAGTAGAGCACGATATGAAGCCTAGAAGATTTTTTTGGGGAAGGGTTTAAATATTAATTATATAACAGACACAGGGTAATCAGAATTTTTTTGTGGCAGTTTTCTCACTATGTAGTTCAAGAAATTTTGTCTTTCATCTAAGTTGTAAAATTTATTGACCTAAAAATATTCTCATTTTCTTTCTTTCTTTCTTTCTTTCTTTCTTTCTTTCTTTCTTTCTTTCTTTCTTTCTTTCTCTCTCTCTCTCTCTCTCTCTCTTTCTTTCTTTCTTTCTTTCTTTCTCTCTCTCTCTTTCTTTCTTTTTCTTTCTTTTCTTTCCCTCCTTCCTACCTTCCTTCCTTCCTTCTTTCTTTTCCTTTCTTTCCTTCCTTCCCTTCCCTCCCTCCCTTCCTTCCTTCCTTTCCCTTTCTTTCTTTCTTCCTTTCTTTCTTTCCTTCTTTCTTTCGACGGAGTCTTGCTCTGTCTCCCAGTTAAGAGTGCAGTGGTGCAATCTTGGCTCACTACAATCTCTGCCTCCAGAGTTCAAGCAGTTCTCCTGCCTCAGCCTCACAAGTAGCTGGCATTACAGGCATGCACCACCACACCCAGCTAATATTGTATTTTTAGTAGAGGCAGGGTTTAACCATGTTGGTCAGGCTGGTCTCGAATCCTGACCTCATGTGATCCACCTGCCTCAGCCTCCCAAAGTGCTGGGATTACAGGCATGAGCCACTGTACCTAGCCTCATTTTCTTTTTAATGTTTGTGAGATTTATGGTGGCATTCCTTCTTTCACTCCTGTTATTGGCAATTGCTTTTTCTGTTTCCTTCTTAAAAATAATTTAGCTTGTCCAGGTGTGGTGGCTTGCGCCTGTAATCCCAACACTTTGAGAGGCCAAGGCGAGCAGATCATTTGGGGTCAGGAGTTTGAGACCAGCCTGGCCAACATGGTGAAACCCAATGTCTCTACTAAAAATACAAAAATTTGCCAGGCGTGGTGGTGCGTGCCTGTAATTCCAGCTACTTGGCAGGCGGAGGCAGGAAAATCGCTTGAACTGGGGAGACAAAGGTTGCAGTGAGCCGAGATTGTGCCACTGCACTATAGCCTGGACAACAAAAAAGATTAAATATTTTCACTCTTTATTTCCTTCCTGTGTTGGGCTTAATTCACTTCGTTTTTTTCTAACTTAAGATAGGCGCTCATTGATTTGGGTTTCCAGATATCTTTTAATTATTGATTTCTAATTTAAGTCCTTTATGTTCAAAGAACATACTCTAATTTGAAGCCTTTGAAACATGAGACCTGTTTTATGGCTAGTTATACAGTTTATATTGGCAAACGTTCCATGTGCATTGAATTAAGGAATGTGTATTCTATGGTGGTTGAGTGGAATGTTCAATAACTGTCACTTAGGTCAGAGAGGTGGATAGTGTTGTTCAAAACTCTATGTGTCTTTACTGATTTTTTTTTTTTTGGTCTACTTTTAAAATCCTTTATTGAGAAAAAATGTTGCTTTCCAACTCCAATTGTGGATTTGTGAATTCCCTTTCGTTCTGTCAGGTTTTGCTTCATATTTTTTATATTTATATTATTAGGTATGTACACATTTAGGATTATAAAGAATTGACCCTTTTAAACATTATACATGTATTTCTTCATTTCTGATAATTCTCTTTGTTTGCAGTGTATTTTACCTTATTGATATAGTCTTTTCAGCTTTCGTGTGGTTAGTATTTGTGTGGGAGAACTTTTTCCATCCTTTTATTATTTTTTTAACCCATACAATGTACCTCTTATAAAGAACACATAATTGGGTCTGGCTTTTTGAATCCAGTCAGAATCTGCTTTTGAATTAGTGTTTATTCCATTTATACTTAATATATTATTTATGTAATTGGGTCTAAATCTGTTTTATAGCTTTTTTTTTTTAGTCTCATATCATTTTTTTTCCATTTCATGCCTTCTTTTGAATTAATCAGGTATTTAAGATTCTATTTTTATGTCATCCATTACACACACACACACACACACACACACACACACACAAACATGCTTTAAGTTATTGTTTTGATGGTTAGAATTTTCATCCCTATCACAATCTACCCTGAAAGAATATATCATTTCATGTATAATATAAGCTGTTTCAACAATATACTTCAATTTATCTTCTCCCGGTCTTCATTCTGTTGCTGTCATATATCTTACTGCTATATATGTTATAAACCTCACAATACATTGGTATTATTTTTGCTTTAAACAGTCAGTTGTCCTAAAGAAATTAACAAATTAGATTCCTTTTATTCGCTCATATGCTGACCATTTCCAATATTCTTCATTTCTTTCTTATATGTCTGATATCTTTCTAGTATTGTTTCCCTTCAGCATGAAGGAATCTTAACATTTTTTTGTAGGGTAGGCCTGCTAGTGACAAATTCTTGCAGCTTTTGTTTATCAGAAGGCATCTCTATTCTGCCTTTATTTCAAAAGGAAATTTTTGCTGGATATCGAATTTTAGGTTGACTCTTTCTTTACACCAAAGATGTCATTCCATTGTCTTGTAGCCTGAATTGTTTCTGATGAGAAGTTATAGAATATTCCCCTGCATGTGCTGGTTTCTCCTTCCCTTTGGATGCTATAAAATTTTCAGTTTATTTTGGTTTTCAGCAATTTGACTGGGTTGTGGTTAGGTGTGATTGTCTTTGTTGATCCTTCTTGGGGTTTCTTGAACTTATTTTGTCTGTGGATTGATATTTTTTTCATCAGTTTGGAAGAAGTTTGGCCCATATTTCTTCTCACTCAACCTATCTCCTTTGCTTTTATAACTCCAGTTACATATAAGTCAGATTGCTTGATATTGTCCTAGAGGTCACGAGGCTCTGTTCATTTTTTTTTTTTTAATCTTTAGTGTTCCTTTCTCTCTGTACTTCAATGTGGATAATTTATAGTAACCTATCTTTAAATTCACTAAACCCTTCTGTAATGTACAATCTGTTGTGAGCTCACCCAATGACTTTTTTATTTCAGATAATTTTTACTTTCAGACTTTCCATTTGGACTTTTTAATGGTTTTTGTTTCTCTGAGATTTCCCATCTGTTCACTAATTGTTTCCATATTTTTCTTAAATCCTAAAGCATATTTATAATAGCTTTTAAAAATGTTTTTGTCTGGTATTTCTGACATCTTTGTCATCGTTTGGCCTGTTTATATTGACTGACTGGCCTCCTGGGTATGGGTCACAGCTTCCTACATCTTAATGTGTTTAGCCACTTTTTATTCTATGCCACACATTGTGGATGCTACTTTTTTGAGATTCTAGGTTCATCTACTTTGAAACAGTTTTTCTCCCCTCTTTTTGTTGAGCTGTCAGCTGCTGCTACTTGTAGCTGTCAGAATACTTGCCTCTGGCTACCGTATTCTCTACTATTCCTTCTTTGTTATTTTCTAACCTGCAGTTGGCTAGGAAATCATTTAATCTAGCTTATTAGCCTTATATGTAAAGTATAAATAAGCAGACATTAAATAGATCCCTGAAGACCCCTGAATCAAATGCATGAACTTCAATGTACAGGTCTTTGCATAATTTAGATATTTAAAGATTCTACTTATTTTTTGTAATTGGCATTGGATGAGTGAAATATAATTTTGTGTTGAAACTATGACCTGAAGAGAGACAACAGTTCTCCAAAGGGCTCCTAATTTCTGGCTGAGATCATCCTAAGTTATTTGTGTATTTTTTGCTCATCTGCTTGTAGCTGTTAGAAGAAATGTTTATTGATAATTGTCATGTCCCAGTAGCCTCTATCAGTGTGACTTTCAGTATTTTATAACCTGTCAAATACTTTCTCTGGGATTTTTACCTTAAGCCTAATGACTACTTTTTAAAACTTAGTTTGTAAATCCTCATACTAAAAACACTTTTAAAAAGATAATCATTTATATAAATCAAATTGCTGAATTGGTGATCAGAGGGAAGCTAAGTAGCTGAAGGAGTTTCTAAGGCACCTTCTGTGAGGTCTGATCTCTTGTCTCCTCATTCAGTAAATTTCAGTGTGAAGTAAATATTGTATTTTATTGTAAAGGCTGTCTTTCATTTCATTTGTCTGATTTGGGATGGGTGAAGGGATTCAATCAAAGTTTTAAGTCTCTTATTTAAGATCCCTCTCCCCCATCCTTATTCTTGGAATGAACTTTTAAGAGGTTAAACCTAAACTTTGCCAAGTAAATGCTGATTTCCTGGGAAGACATTTCAGCACCTTTTCTGTTTTTCAGTACTTGTGTTTTGCACCTAAATCAGCAAACCTTCCTCCTTTCCAACTCTCCCGGAAGCCATTCTCCATGTCTGTCACATACCTTACAGAGCTCTGGAGTAGTCTTGTTTTTTAATTATAAGAATCAATGAGGAAAAGAAGACTTTAGTTTCTTCCTTTCAGAACCAGACCTTAGAGAACAACCTATAAAATAGAATCAATTTTGCTGCTTCAGAGTATAAGGAAACCCTTTATAGAGGAAGGTTCATGTTTTGCCAGAATAATAGCAGCTCAGTCTAGAGACTTCTCTAGCAATTTCAGATACTGGCTTTTTTTTTTTTTTGTATATAATTAGGTGATGGGTAGAGACCCCACACTAACGTGCACTCAGAGGTGGTATTGTTTAATAACTTCCCTGTAATCATGCTAGGATATCTGTGCCTGATTATTGATCCTTGAGTAGCTAAAAATGGTGCCAGAGTAGTATCAATCCAGATGGAGCTGAGGGAGACCAATGTTAGACATTTCTGTGATTAGGCACTGGAGTAGATTACAGCATGATAAGGTTCTCTCTTCTCTGAGTAAAGTGCTCTTCAGCTTGGCGCTAATAGGAGCAGGATTCAGGCTTGTCAGCTCTGGAACTTGTAGTCAACTTGCCTTTTAGAGACAGGTTTCGGACTCTGTACAGCCTGTAATCTTTCAAATGTAAGAATCCCCAGGGAGTTTGCTTTGAAAGGGAGTCTGGGTTAGATTGGAAGAATGCCTCCTGGACAGATCAGGTCAATAATTTCCAGTGTTCAGGATATTCTTAGGGCCCAGACATCCTCTTAAAAGTTTAGCTGATTCAGCAAACATCCTTGTGGCATGCAAGGGATGGGTTCTCATCCTGTTTTATGGCTGAGAGAATGAAGACCCTGAAAAGGGAAGTGACCAACCCCAGGTCCCACCAGCTTAAATTGGGAGGCATTGACATAAACCTCCTCTCCTCACTCCAAGGGTGATGTTCTTTCTGTGACATCATCTGAAGGCTTGTGGGTGATAACTTAGGGGAAGAGTTTTCACTTTGGAATAGAAGATAGTAGAATCTGTCATAGCCTAGATAGGCATTCAAAAGAACCGGCCTTGTGAATCTTTAGACCTTTAGACGGGGGACTCTACCCTGTATTGCAGTCTGGAATTGCCCAGGGGGTTATAGTAAATACTGAAGCCCGAGTTCCTCCAGTTGCATCAGAGATGCAGATATAATTGGTCTGGGGTGCAGCCTGAGCAGGGGGATTGAAGAAACTTTAGAACGAACCTATGGCAATTTTGTCTTAGCCTCGGCTTATAGCTTTTCCGGCTGAAGTTCCCTTTGACCCACTTATGGAAGAGGTTGGAAATTTTCTGTATTTATTAAGACCTGCACCGAAATTGAGTCAGAAAACAGCTGGAGAAAAGACTCAGTTAAAACTGAGTTTTCCAGAGTTAAGAGTAGACGTGGTTCACATGATCTGGATAAGTCATGAATTTATTGAAACTTTAAGGGAGTTATTGAAAATGCCAACCATCGATTGAGTCTCAGTTGCCGTGAGCTGAAGGAAAGACGAAGACGCGTCTCTGGCTTTGAGGGATCTTATTGTGTAATCTTGCCATGTACCTGAATCACTTCTAACAACATACAGGTGCATGGATGTAGGGAAATGGCTTGGCTGCATAAATATTTGCCTGTCCCACCTAAATCTTTTTTGAGGAAGCAGCCAGGACATAAACAGCTGAAATGAAAATATTTGCTTGTCCAGAAGTCGATTTCCCCACAGGCCATTGCCCTCCTTCCTGTGGCTGCCTCTGCTGTTCTCATTAGCGGAGCAGCCTTTCCCTGTTGCTGTCTAGGCCTTACAGAGATCCTGAGGGCAACAAAGCCAGTGGTCACCTGTAAAATCCAGTAAGTGATTGATGCTCAGGAAATAGGAGATATTAAAGAAGTGAAAGAGCCTAACCCAGCCCCAGGTGTTCTGCCTCTGCAGCTGTGCTCTGCTGTTTCATCTCTGCCATGCCAGGTGCGAGATGTGGCTTCACCTGAGAATTGCTGACCCAGGTTGATCAGATCAAATCTATCCAGGCCACCTCTGGCAGAGGCAGCAGAAAATGAGAATATGCTGTGGATTAGGGTGAGAATCCTCCCAGGGCTTAGTGATGGTCCCTTGGAGAGCTCCGTTTCTATCCAAGAAACCTGTGAATTCTCAACCTTTGCCAACTTGCAATCTTTCTTCAATCTGCCCCAACTATTTCTAGCAAATTCTTTGGTTAATGCAGCATAGAAAACACATTCTATTTGTCCCAGACGTATTTCATTCCAGCTTCAAGGGGTGGACATTGAACCTAAGAGTGTTCATAGAGAGTCAGACTTGAGAGAATAAATTTCTCTCTGTTAAATCATATATGAAACCATGCTTGCTCCCAGGCTGCTGGCGGCAGGAAGCAGTGATGAGGATGGAGCTTGGCAGATGGCTGTAGCTGTGGTTTCCTGGAGGCCTGTGTGGGGAGATGATGGTTTGTATATTGGTTTTCATTTATGTATTGGTCTTAGCTTTCATCTTCCTGAGGTACCCAGATGCTATGGTGATAGATTGATTAGAAATGACTCATTTGTCAGAATTCCGTGGGGGCTGTAGGTTCCCTTCTCATATGCAGTAGACTGTTAAATGTTTAATTAGATGCTGAGGCATTTCTGCATGGGTCCATCTCTGCCCATTCTCCCCAGTGGATGCCATTTCTTAGGTTGCAGAGGGACGGGGTTGGGGAGGGGCTTTCCAGCTCTCCATCTTCTCCCTCTACTTATTTTGTCTGGGTGGCAATCCTTAGTCCTACCTCCTTTTATTTTTTAAAATTTATTTATTTATTTTTGAGATGGAGTTTTGCTCTTGTCGTCCAGGCTGGAATGCAGTGGCACAGTCTTGACTCACTGCAACCTCTGCCTCCTGGGTTCAAGCGATTCTCCAGTCTCAGCCTCCCAAGTAGCTGGACTACAGGTACCTGCCACCACACCCGGCTCTTTTTTTTTTTTTTTTTTTTTTTTTGTATTTTTAGTAGAGGTGGAGTCTCACTATGTTGACCAGCCTGGTCTCAAACTCCTGACCTCAGATGATCTGCCTGTCTCGGCCTCCAAAAGTGCTGGGGTTGCAGGCATGAGCCACCATACCCAGCCTTTTATTTATTTATTTAAAAAAAAAAATATATATATATATATGTGTGTGTGTATGTGTGTGTGTGTGTGTGTGTGTGTGTATATATATATATATATATATATATATTTCTTTTTTTTTTCTCAACTTCCCAAGTAGCTGGGATTACAGGCACCTAATACCACGCCCGGCTAATTTTTTTGTATTTTTAGTAGAAATGGGGTCACCATGTTGGCCAGGCTAATCTCGAACTCCTGAGCTCAAGTGATCTGCCTGCCTCAGCCTCCCAAAGTGCTGGGATTACAGGCATGAGCCACTGCGCCTGGACTTACGTCCTTTCAGCTGCGGTTTTCTGTCCCCAACATGATTGTCCTAAAAACTGCCTTCATGTGGCTGCTAGAATTTGCAGAACTGATCCATGTTAGAAATCTAGTCAGACAGGTCCAAACCAGACTTCGTGAGATAATGTAGTTGAACTGATATGCAGTGAGAGCAGTGTTAACTGCCGCTTATCTGTTTTGTTCCACTTCAACTTTTTCAGGGCCTTACTTTGTTCTTACTGTGTGCCAGGCAGTGCCCTACATGCTGAGGATGAAAAGGTCTGATGGGTGCACCATGGTAGCACCATGGAGATGCTAGATAAAGGTGTGAGCAAAGGGCTGGGGAGTCACCTGAAGATGGCGTGAGCCATGGGCATGGGAAAGAATGGCATTTCAGGCGAATGCGAGCAGTTCTGGGAGTAGTGGGTTTGCAACCTAGCAGAAAGCACCATGTACTGAGTTGTGGGAGGTATTATGCATGTGGATATAGGAGGTGCAGCTTGGAATGGCCAAGGTTTCCACCTGGGACACAGGTGACATAAAGAAGTGGGAGACAGTGAGACAGCCTGGAGCGGGGAGAGGCGTTAAATGATAGGGGTGATAAAAATCAGGCGCTTGTGAAGTCTAGGTGGTCACATCTAATGGGCTGTTGAGATATGGGTTTGGGACCTATTGGGGTGATGGTGCCAGAGACATAGACAGTTTTTTGATTTTTTTTTTTTTTTTTTTTTTAGGTAGGGTCTGGTTGAAAAATCTGGGTTAAAAAAAGAAAAAGAAAAATTTAAAAAAGAGATAGGGTCTCACTCTGTCCCCTAGGCTGGAGTGCAGTGTTATGATTGGGGCTCACTGCAACCTCCGTCTCCCATGTTCAAGCAATTCTCCAGCCTCAGCCTCTCTAGTAGCTGGGACTACAGGAGCATGCCACCAACACCCAGCTAATTGTTTTGTATTTTTGTAGAGACAGGTTTTCGCTATGTCACCAAGCTGGTCTTAAACTCTTGGGTTCAACGAGATCCTTCTGCCTCAGCCTCCCAAAATGCCGAGATTACAGGCATGCGCCGCCACGCCTGGCTGAGAGATGTAGATTTAGAGATCATTGTTTGATGAGTCAGGGCTTGAAGACTTGAGCACAGAGCCATTCGAGGAAAACCTGGATAGAAAGGGAGAGGGCTCATACGCTTTGAGAACACCAGTGTTTTAAAGAAGAACCAGAGGTTAGGGCAGAAGGTTGAGTCAGGTGGCAGAAGGACCAAGTGCTGCATCCAGCCTCCTTTTCCCTTTAATGGCCGATTCTGCCAAGCCCGACTGCCTGCTGAGCCTGGTGAGCATGCCTTAGCCGCTGGGGGGCTGGCCTGCAGTTTCCCCTTCTCTCTCCTTGCACAGTGTGCTGAGGGCATCTTCACTGGCTGCAGGCTCCTGGGCTTTGTTTCCTTGCTGGCATCAAGGATTGGAAAGCCTATTTTTCCCCCATCTTCTGGCGTTGGTCAAGGCTCACCATTCCACCCCTCCTGAGGAGTGCCGGGTGCTCTGAGCTATCTGCTTTCTGGTTACCCACCTAGAGCACAAGAGCCCACCTGAGGATCGTCTGTGCCTCTTCTCCGGTGCTACACGAGCTCAGCCTTGTAGCTCATTCCTGATCCCAGCAGAACACTCAGAGCCGTTCCTCCACCACCTTTCTGGAGACGAGATGCATCTCTGTTGTTGCCACACACTGAAGATTCACAGGCTAGCTCCTTCATCAGGGAAGAAGTTTCATCTTCATTGCTGTCGAGGAAAGGAAGACATTGCAGACTGGTGATGATGTATTTCGTCTTTACTCAGTGACCACAAGCACAGGGTGCCCAAATAGGTAACACCATGTTCTTCTCAGTTTTTGCCTGGGATCGTCACTCCAATGGTAGTCTTCACTTGAAACCAAGCCCGGACATTGAAGGGAGAGTCATTTGGCAAAGTTCCTGCTGAAACTGTCATCCAAGTGGCATTCTGTCTAAGTGGTATTCTGGCTCCAGCCATCCTTCCAGATTTCCCCGATATCCGAGCCCTCACTGCTACCACAGGAGCCGCCCGACTTCCTGGCCGGCCTGGGTTTGAGCACAGCTCCTCAGCTGGGCTGCATGTCTAAGGAGGTCTTGAAGCCTCTGATGCCACAGCAGTCCCTGTCTCTGGCACCAAGTCATCTTGGCTTTTACTGTCGTGCCCAAATCATTCTGAGTTTTCTTCAGTGGTGTGAGCATCTTAAAGAATGAATGTTAAGGTCTGCTTATTCCGTGGGATAGCAGGTGAGATGGGGCCGGTGCACGTCAATTCCAGTTCACCATTGCAGAACTGAGAAGTGTGCAGAGACTTTCTTCTCTGTATTCGCTGTGTTTTCGGCAGCCAGTGCTGGGCCACTTAGCTTCCTCGGAGAGGTGCGGAAAGCTAACCCAAGTTCCTGTCCCTTCTTCCATGCTGGTCCCCGCAGGGCTTATGCTAGAGGACTCTGTGGCCATCTCACCAGCTATGCCGAAATGCATCTGACTTCTGACTGTTCCTGTGTGCGGTGCCACCTCCCTGCTGGACCCAGGCCTGGCCACTTGGAGACAGTGCCCTCATTGTCCTGGGCTTTCCAGGCTGCAGAAGGACCGAGGACCTGCATAGACGGCTATGGGAAGTGGTGGCTTTTAAATTGTGGTAAAATATATATAACATAAAAACATATGTTAAGCATTTTAAAATGTACAACTCAGTGGCATTAGGTATAATACAGTCAGTGTTATGTGACCTGGTTCCAAACTCCACCCCAAATGGAAAACCCACACCCCACCCAGACCCACTACCCCCAGCTCAGCCCCCGCCCCCGGCAGTCACAAATCTGCTTTCTGCCTCTGAATTTTTCTGTTTGGGATCCCTTATATAAATGGAACCGTAGAATATGAGGTCTTATGACAGTGTCGAGGTTCACTGTGTTGTAGTGTGTGCAAGAGTTTCATTTCTTTGGATGGCTGGATAAAATCCCATTGTTGCGGATAGACCACATGCTGTTTCTCCATTACATTTGGATTGTTTCCACCTTTGGGCCGTGATAAATAGTACTGCTATGGGCATTCGTGTACATGGTGTTGGGTGGACATGTTTTCAGTTCTTTGGGTATATACCTGGGAGTAGGATTGCTGGGTCATATGGTGACTCTGTTCAACTTTGTCGGGGACAGTAAGACTGTTTTCTCCAGTGGCTGTACCACTTTACGCTCTCATTAGAAGTGTGTGAGGGGAGGTGGTGACTTTGGAAGCTGAGAGTGTCAGCCCTTTTTTAGCATAAACCAAAATTACCTGAGTGACCCTCAGTGGAGGGTTGCCAGGACCAGAGGCTTGAGCACAGAGCTGTTCGAGGAAAACCTGGATGGAAAGGGAGAGGGCTCAGAGCCTTTGGGGACACTAGTGTTTTAAAGAAGAACCAGAGGACCAGTGACATAAGGAGTGAGCAGGGAGGGGACATGGGGCCTAGGCATGTCAGGTGGCATTCACGAGTGCAGCTGGACAGGCCACGGTCTGGTCCTCAGGGGTGGCTGAGCCCTCTCCAGTTTTGTGGGAGCATGTGGTGGGAAGGCAGGGGACTAGGGTGGTGAAAGGCTGTGTGGTGGGCTTGGGAGGGCTGATCTGGGTGGTGCCTGTGGTGCAAGGTGTTTGACCCTAGGGCTGGGGTAATGGCAGAGTGTGCGCTCGCCCAGGGGAGACAGGTTACAAGTCCAAAGAAAGAGGTGGGTCCAAGCTCAGCCCACAGATTAGGCTGATATGTGATGGCACTTGGGGTGTTTCACTGGGCTCCAGTATTGAGGTGCTTCTTCTTAACCCCAAGCAATGCCCCTATCCTGAGGCCAAGGCAACTGATTCTTACCTGGTGTTAGGTTCTGAATCAAGCACACATGGTCTGAACTACCCTCGAAAATCTCTCTGCCCACAACCTAGTCCCTTGGAAGCTCAAGAGCCAAGATTTGGCTGCTTTTATTTGCTCCCAGTGGTGGCTTCTCTCTCTTCAGGTCAGAAAAGGCCAAGGTCTGGTTTGGGTGGAGAAGAGCGAAGGGGGAGTAGAGATTGAGGTGAGGGGTACAGACAGTTGGAATGGGATATGTGTGAGTTGAATGCATGTGGGCTGTGAGTCTCTTGGCTGCTGGCTAACTGGCTTAGGACCTAGGGTAGGTTAGGGGCCTGAGAGGACCAGAAAGACTGACATTAGAGCCTCTGGGGCGCTGGGCAGGGGCTGCAGGGCTGTCCTCCCAACCCTTGCTGGAAAGACCCAGAGCCACCATAAGCCCACAGCAGCCCCAGTCAGCACAAGCAGTGTCGGGTGGGCACCTGTCACTGTGCCCAAGCTCTGGGAGCCCTGCTGGCCCCAGGCAGAGGCTTCCTTTGGGGTACATGGGCCAAGTCATTGCCACCTTGTAAACAGCATTAGGGTTTAGCAGTGCTACCATCTCATGGTAATTCTTCTACAGTCAGTGCCTCCTGGAAGCATCTGCTGATCAGGGAGCATATTCCCAGTTTACAGATAGAGGTTTAGAAAAAGAGTGGCTTTTTTTTTTTTTTTTTTTTTTTTTTCAGATGGAGTCTCACTTTGTCGCCCAGGCTAGAGTGCGGTGATGTGATCTCTGCTTACTGCAACCTCCGCCTCCCGGGTTCAGGTGATTCTCCTGCCTCAGCCTCCCGAGTAGCTGGGATTACAGGTGCGTGCCACCACACCCGGCTAACTTTTTTTGTATTTTTAGTAGAGATGGGGTTTCACCATGCTGGTCAGTCTGGTCTTGAACTCCTGAGCTTGTGATCCACCCACCTTAGCTTCCCAAAGTGCTGAGATTACAGGCGTGAGCCACTGCGCCCGGCCAAGAGTGGCTTTAAGTGATTAGGAAGAGACAGAACTGGAACACACATCTGGGACTTCTGGCTCTAGATTCAGCATTCTTTTTGTTGTGTTGCACTTCTTGCAGAAGCTATCTGATATTGGTGCTAATCTTTTCCTACCCACTCTTTGTTAGAGCAGATGATAGTCTTGGAGTCATAAGTGGCAAAGAACCTGGAGAAGGGAGGAGGGTGACACCTGCTTCTTATGCAGGGTGCTTTCTGTCTCCCCAGGTTCTGGTCACATATGAGATGGATCTGTTTTACCCAGCTCTGTCAAGGCCATCTTGACCCCTGGCTCTGCCCCATCTGTCCCTGCCCTTTACTGGGTAGCATCCTCCCCATGAGACAAACCCTCACCTAGAGTTGGCAGAAATTTTTGAGTTGAACCTCAATTCTGATGAGGCACAATTAGCATCCTCTGCTGTGGCCTCAGCTTTCAGCAAATGGTAAACTTTACTTGAGGGCATAATTCAATTATGAAAACCTATTTCTCTTATACAAAATCTCCTAATGTGCCTTTGTGCACACACAAATTTAGTGACACATCACCAAATGTGTATGTGGTTGCCATGGAAATGTCTCTCTTCTAACGTGGCATTCCAAGAGCAGAGAGAAGGGAAGTTTTCTTTGTAAAGAGAAGCAGAGCAGAACTTGGCTAATTGTCATCACACTAATCCCCAAACTGTCATTCTTCCCTGACTACCTGTCTCCTACTTCCTGTCAGCAGCTGAACAGGGGAAGGCAAATCAGTGTGCAGGACTGGGTCTCTCACATTTCCTTAGGAATTTCACAAGCATTGCTCTTAACCTTTATGGCCAGCACGCACCAGGAAGGACCCCAGGTCTTCCTTGATTTGGGTTTGCACCTAGAAGCTTAGAAAGTGTACCTTCCTGGATTGTCTAGCACTTGCCACCCACGAGGACTCAGAAGAACTCCTGGCACCATTTCTCTGTGGCAAGTGCAGGCTGAATAGGGCTTCTGAAGAGGCTTTGTGTTTCCCACCAGAGCTTTTGTCTTTGTGACAAGCGCATGATGTGACAGCATCTAGAGCATGCCAGTACGAAGGCTCTTTTTCAGTGTCAGAAATCCCACGTCTTCTTGATGGTGGTGTGAGTCCACAGTGTGGGACCTAAGTCTGGTTGCATGCCTCTGTCTTCCCGGCTCAGGCTCAGGTTGATCCTCACCCTCACTCTGTTTTCACTTGTCCTCTGACTTTCTTGACTGAGCCTTTCTGTGGGCAACGACGTCCTTGGATTTCTGGACTTTACCAGCAATCTCTGAGGGGATCCTTGGTCCATATTAGTAGACCCTTTGACTGGGTCATTGGGCTGCCTTTCCCTAGTTTGGGGGCTGCGTAGCAGTTATTTTTCTTTTTTGGAGATAGTGTCTTACTCTGTTGCCCAGGCTGGAGTACGGTGACACAATCTGTTCCCTGCAACCTCTGCTTCCTGGGTTCAAGCAATTACCCTGCCTCAGTTTCTCAAGTAGCTGGGATTACAGGTGTGCACCACTATGCCAGGCTAATTTAGTCGAGACAGGGTTTCATCATGTTGGCCAGGCTGGTCTAGAACTCTTGGCCTCAAGTGATTCATCTGCCTCAGCCTCCTAAAAGTAATGGGATTACAGGTGTGAGCCACCGCTCCTGGCCTGGCCTTGTTGTTTTAATATCGAAACCCCTAGGATGTTCCATCTTGTCCATGGCTGTACTGGCTCTCAAGAAGACCTGTAGTCACTGGCCTGACTGAGTTGCCAAAGTGGGATGGGGGAGGGGGCACAGACCCAGTTTCTGACTCTCAAAGCAGGGGCTATAAATTCTGGACACCCGCCTCTCCACAGCTCTGCACCCCTGACTGGGGCCTGTGGGTCTCCACTTAGTGTGGGTCAAGCAGCAGGTCATTTCTGCCAAAAGACAATGTCCTTCTTGCTTTTATAAATCAGGTCCTTAACATTGTTTCTTACCCAGTGTTTATTTTACTGGCCCTCAAGGGATTAATCAGGAGGCATCTGGCTCATGGCTAGGCTGTGACCTTACTGAATGTGTGTAAATTTGACCAAGAGCTGAGGGAATCATACCAGCAACTTCATAGGGGTTCAGAGCCTTTTATTACCAAATCAGTGTCCAGGGTTTGCTCTGCTGAGGCTGCTGCAGGTAGCCACTGCTTCAGTCTACTTCCATGTAGCTATTGCTTCTGAGGTTGTTCTGAGGTTATTTTGGGGCCTGTTTGGGGAGCTCGTGACCCCACCTCACCCCCACAGAGAGAGCAGGGCCAGGCATGTCCTCCTTGACTCTGTGGCCTCTCCATGGCCTAACCAAATCTCCCTTTCAGCAAGGGACAGGGCTTTTAACAATAATAAACTCTATTTGGGATAATAGAGAACTTAGCTTTGACATAGTGTGTTCTCATTCTTTCTGCTGTTTTAGACACCGATAAATCTACCAAACTTGGATATATAAATGGCTGTTAGAGCTGGCTGCCCCCTTTCTCCTTTGGCTTGTGCGAGTAAATATCAATTTAGTCCTTATGGAAGGAGAATGAAGGAGACTTGGTTGTCTCCCTAATCCACACACCCTGTAATTCTCACCTGGAAAATTTAGCTTTCCTATTTCAAATCAGTTTTAATGGCAAAGGCTAAAGGGAGGCTTTATTGCTCTTATCCAGGCTTATTGTTCAACTTTTTAAAAAAATTCATTCAGTAAATAAGAGCTCCTCCAAGGAGACCCGGAGGGGGTTGGCTTAGGAGGAAGGAAGAAGGTAAGTAAATGGAAGCTTGATGGGAGAAATGCCCACTGGGTAGACACTCAGAATGGGGGCCACTGATC